GATTGTAAAGATGCATGATGGAAAAGTATGCCATGATTGGTAAAGTATGTCATGATTGGTAAGTATGCCTGATTGTAAATTACTGCAGTCATTTGTGTATAGTTATTCTGATTTGTTAATAGTATGCATGTACTTCCGGTAAGGTTGACTGATTTGCAAATTAGTAAGCTTGCCCGGAATGTCAGTCATGTGGTAAGTATGCCTATTGTCAGTCAGCCTGATTTAAAGTACGCAGCTTTGTGTATGCCAGTTGTAATACCATGTTGTGTAATGTATGAAGATTGGTCAAGTCAGTCTTGTTGGTAAGTGTTAGATTGCAAAGTTGCCATGATTGGACTAAGTGTGAAGAGAAAAGTAATGCATCGATGTCACGTGCATATTGGTAAAGTATCCATGATGACACACATTTGTCATGATGCCAAAGCCATGAGGTCAACTTTTGGTAAACGTATGTCAGATTGGAAAGTATGGATATTCGTAACATATAATATTGACAGATGCCAGCATACTAAGTGAGCAATGATTGGTAAAGTATGTCTGATGGAAGTATGTCATGATGGTAAAGTATGTCATGATTGGTTAAGTATGTCATGATTGGTAAAGTATGTCAAGATTGGTAAAGTATGTCGTGATTGGTAATGTCATGATTGGTAAAGTATGCCATGATTGGTAAAGTATGTCATGATTGGAAAAGTATGTTATGATTGGTAAAGTATGTCATGATTGGTAAAGTATGCCATGATTGGTAAAGTATGTCATGATTGGTAAAGTGTGTCGTGATTGGTAAAGTATGTTATGATTGGTAAAGTATGCCATGATTGGTAAAGTATGTCATGATTGGTAAAGTATGTCGTGATTGGTAAAGTATGTCATGATTGGTAATGTCATGAGTGGTAAAGTATGCCATGATTGGTAAAGTATGCCATGATTGGAAAAATATGTCATGATTGGTAAAGTATGTCATGATTGGTAAAGTATGCCATGATTGGTAAAGTATGTCATGATTGGTAAAGTATGTCGTGATTGGTAAAGTATGTTTGTTGGTAAGTGCATGATTGGTAAAGTATGCATGATTGGTAAAGTATGCCCATGATTGGTAAAAGTATGTCATGATTGGTAAAGTATGTCATGATTGGTAAAGTATGTCATGATTGGTAAAGTGCCTGATTGGAAAGTATGTCATGATTGGTAAAGTATGTCATGATTGGTAAAGTATGCATGATTGGTAAAGTATGTATGATTGGTAAAGTATTCATGATTGGTAAAAGTATGTCATGATTGGTAAAGTATGCCATGATTGGTAAATGTATGCCATGATTGGTAAAGTATCATGATTGGTAAAGTATTCATGATTGGTAAAGTAATATGCCATGATTGGTAAGTATGTCATGATTGGTAAAGTATGTCGTGATTGGTAAAGTATGTTGATTGTTGGTAAAGTATGCTATGATTGGTAAGTATTCATGATTGGTAAAGTATAGTCTGATTGGTAAAGTATGCCATGATTGGTAAAGTATTGCATGATTGGTAAAGTATGCCATGATTGGTAAAGTATATCATGATTGGTAAAGTATGTCATGATTGGTAAAGTATGCCATGATTGGTAAAGTATGCCATGATTGGTAAAGTATGCCATGATTGGTAAAGTATTCATGATTGGTAAAGTATGCCATGATTGGTAAAGTATGCCATGATTGGTAAAGTATGTCATGATTGGTAAAGTATGCCAATGATTGGTAAAGTATGCCAATGATTGGTAAAGTATGTCATGATTGGTAAAGTTGCCGTGATTGGTAAGTATGATGATTGGTAAAGTATGCCATGATTGGTAAAGTATGCCAGATTGTTAAAGTGTCATGATTGGTAAAGTATGCCATGATTGGTAAAGTATGCCATGATTGGTAAAGTATGTCATGATTGGTAAAGTATGCTGATTGGTAAAGTATGCTGATTGGTAAAGTATGTCATGATTGGTAGTAACGTATGTTATGATTGGTAAAGTATGCCATGATGGTAAAGTATGTCGTGATTGGTAAAGTATGCGATTGGTAAATATGCCATAGATTGAAATATGTCATGATTGGTAAAGTAGTCATGATTGGTAAAGTATGTCATGATTGGTAAAGTATGCATGATGGTAAGTATGCTGATTGGTAAAGTATATATTGAAGTTATGATTGGTAAAGTATGCCATGATTGGTAAAGTATGCCATGATTGGTAAAGTATGTCATGATTGGTAAAGTATGTTGATTGGTAAAGTATGTCAATGATTGGTAAAGTATGCGTGATTGGTAAAGTATGTCATGATTGGTAAAGTATGTCGTGATTGGTAAAGTAGTCTGATTGTTAAAGTATGTCATGATTGGTAAAGTATGCCATGATTGGAAAGTATGTCTGTGATGGTAAAGTATGTCATGATTGGTAAAGTATGCCATGATTGGTAAAGTATGTAAATGATTGGGTAAATTTGATGGTCGTGATTGGTAAAGTATGTCTTTG